TATTCCCATGGCATTCACTTGCATCACTTGCCTAGGGCTGGAATTTGGGAATTCATTCAGGTGAACTTGAGGTGCTGCCATTTTGTTGTATGTGTATAGGATGGTGGGCTGGGAACCCTTTGTCACAAACCTATAGTACCTATTTCAACTGCCCACTAAATTACTCCTTCCCTGGGTTTGTTTTCCTTGGGGGAGGGTGTGGATTGTATGAGTAAGAAGTTTTAATTTTTTAAAAGACAAATCGACTTTGAAGATACAAAAGTTAATTGCAAGAAATAAAAATTGTGAATGAAGAATACCCGAGTGCTTTTTGTACCACCCTTCTCTATGAAGGAAACAATGTGAATGAGCTTCCACACCTTGAGAGGCAACTAACTAAATGTCTATGTTGATACTACTTCAGTAGTCTGGAATTAATGGCAGTTTGAATCATTGCAGTTTCCTGTTCTAATAATTTAAATAGGTGCCTTCTTGACTGATAATGCCACGTAAACCTAACTGCAGATGGTTTAATGTATCTGATAATCTGCTTCAGGTAGGACACAAAGCTATTTGTCATTCTTATTATCTGCTCTCCAAATAACATTAAGGAATCCCTTTGGCTACACTATTATTCCAGTTGAAAACAAGTCCAGAAGTTCCCATTTAGTCCTCATTAACCTGAGTTAAGCTACCCTGTATGTAAAATGCCTGAATGAGCTATTAATAGGTACAGGTAAATCCTATCTCTGTCTATATTATTACCAAAGATTCTGATCAAATCATTGTGACTCTAGTTTCTGATTAGAATAGGTACGAGAACTCTGGTGGAAATGCCTTTTCTAGTCCCCGTGACAATGACAGCTTTCAGCATTACAAAAGAATTTTAAAAGGCAGTGAGGATTACTGAGGCAAAGCTCCTAACAAGGCCACACTGCTTCCTGGGTCATTTCTCATGAGAAAGTTGTTTAGCCTCTTGGGGGAAGGTTTTCTGTGAGTTTATTTTCTTCCACTTGAAGAAGCAACTAGCTGCCTTTTCCCTTTCTTCTTTTATTATCCTTCCACCTCAAAAATTACATACTCCCTACCAAAAACAGGATAATGTGGGAAGAACAAGGGTTCTGGTCATGTTTAAATCCCAGTTCTAACGTTTGCTAAGGACCCTAAGCAAGTTACTTAATTTCTTCATGGAGCCTGTTTCCTCCTGAAAAGTTGTTACAAATACTACCTCTATCTTGAAAGGTTGTAAGGATTAAAACCGATATATGTAAATTAACCCCCTCCCTATCTAGGAGCTTGTAGCGCAAAAGGAAATTAAGAGGTTTGTACTCTACTTTCGCTGATGAATGCAACCTTCTAATTTCTTCATCCTTAATCATGAATTTTAGTTATTATGACTCTGGGTCTTGCAGGAACAAACTTCTATTAAATAAAATGGTTCATTTTCACAAAATTCCATGGCAGGTTATACTTTGTAAGAAGTCATTTTTGATGTCCTATAGAATTTTTTAAATAAAGGCTTTATAAGATTGATCTATCATCGGTTTTAGTGATTACCTGGTCTTTCTAAAAAAAAAAAAAACTAAGCTTGAGTATGTTATACCTTGATAGTAATTACTGCATAATAAGTGAGTGTCCTAGTTAATATTTAGTGCTGGCCTTGCAAAGAAAAAAAATCTTGGCCCATGTACCATATCTATTAGGAAACTAGTGTTCTCATGGAATGCATCTGATTCTTTTAAATAATCAGTGTAGTTTAAAATAATATGTACTGGCTGACCACTTCTTGGTTCTGTTTTACCTTCTACACAGTCATAAATTATAAGGGGAAATGGCTTAAAGGAAGCTGTTTTAAAGTACTGCCAACTAACTGCCTATAATTTTGGAATTTTTTCCATTTCCTCAAGCTCTTCGCTATGGAAGAATGCATAAAGTCTTTATTGGTTGTGCAATGACTGGGATATTTATTTTAGGTTTTCACACCAGAGCACAGAATAGCATTGTAAAGACATAAAATATCTCTAAACTGTAAATTAAAAAATACAAATTTAAGCCAGTTGTTTCTAAATTAGCAGCTTCATCACACTTACTCTGAAAGCTAGGTCAACTAAACCTGACAACACTTTTGGAGGGAAAAACTCTGGGCAAAACAACCCAAGGGATCCTTACTCCTATTTCCTGCATGCTTCTGAGCAGTAACAATTGGACAATTACCATCTATTAAGACTAGCCTAGCTGCACATCTCAGGCTTCAACTCTAGTTTTCCCAGCATAGAGTCAAGTGTTCCTCCAAGCCTGAATTGTTGTTTGGTCAGGAATTCACTGCATATTGTTAAAGTGAGTACAGGGCTTTGAAAGGGAAAAAAACAAAAGCACATCAGTTTCACCAAGAAAGGGAAATCATGAGCCAGCAAGATAATAACCATGATTTGGGGCCTCAAGTTAAGAAAGTAGCTCTTCAAACAAAAAGCAGACCTTTTCTGTTGAGTATAACCATGGCTGCTTTAGCTGTTCTCTTACGAAAGACAACTGGGGAAACACAAATTACAATTTTAATAATTCCAGTAACTTAAATCTGTACTGGTTTTGTAAAAATGAACTGTGAGGTGCTTGGTGGAAGTAAATTGCCAATTTTTATTTCCTGGGAACTGAAAGATAACTTAAGTATCCAAAATTTGATATTTTTAGCTAGTTCAGCTGTCAACTACCACAAGGCCAGTGTTATTCTCAGATCTGCTTTACCCTACCCAAGGACACAAAAGAACCACCTTTCTATACGTAAGCTGAAAGGCAGAAAAGGCAATTGAAGAACCTCACCGAAATCTAACACCTTCATCTTACGTTTTCTTTTACTACTTTTGGCTAGGTGAAAACAAATTCTTAATGTCAATACTGATTTCTGAACCTCGTTTCTTAAAAACACATCTATATACATAGATATGCTTTTTAAAAAATTATAGTATAAGGGGATTCAATTACTTGGGTTTTTGTTTGTTTAAAATACAGTATTACCTGTTATTTTGCCTGCTATGCTCTTCCTCTCCAATGCAGTGAAAATTCAGTTTAACTTGCAACTCAAAAATCCTAGATATAAAGAATGTTTACGTTTACTGTTGAACTTGTAAATTATCATTTATACTAATTGGTTGCTTCATAGTATAATACAAATACTTAATGCAATTCAGCAGATATTTATTGAACTCTCTAAAGATTTTAACAAATATAAAATCTTGTTGGTTTTAATAGGTTTTCTTCTTTTACATTTCACTTAATATCCACGTTGAGGCAAAAAGCCAAATCAAAGTTTAAAAATATTTCTTAGCTGAATTCGTTACTGTTCACCTTTTATAATTACAATCTAGACACATACCACTTACAAAACTATGATTTTCCTTTTATGTTACCTGATGGTTTGCCTGTGCTATTTTAAAGGCAGACACATTCAGCATTACAACTGCATTCTAACTGAAACACATATACATCCTTCACTGTGACAAAAGCAAGCATTTAAAAAAATGAGTTGTTAAATAGATGCATTTCATTTTGGTTTGATAAATAGTCTTCATAATTGGGCTAACAAAACTGCCACTTATTAAGGTAATTGCTCTTTCATTTCAAAAACCAATCAAACTGCTTTTACATTTAACCTAAAACATAGGTCTTGGCCAGGGATGTGTTATCAGAATCACCTGTGGTTTGTTCAAAACCAGCCATACCTTGGCCTGGATAGGTCTGGGGTAGGACCCAGATCCAGGAACCCTCCTTTAATTTCAAACAAGCATTAGGGGTGATTTTATTATAATCTGTATCCCCTTCCCATTAAGAAACATGCCCTAAAATATTCTAATATAAAAATTTAAACCTTTACTAGAATGTACTTAACATCTAACTTTAGTAATTTGTTGACATTTCAGTAATACATTTATAATTAGGGGCCTCAAATCATAAGCAGTGGACATTAATATCCATTATAATGTGAATTGTTATTGTTCACGTTAAGGAAAAAAGATCAGATACTCAGCATTACCACTCTGCACAGTAACAGTAAACACTTCTATAGTGCTTACCACATGCCAACTACTCTACTAAGCACTTTACACACATTAACTCACTCATCCTCCCAACCTAATGAAATAGGTATTATTTTCATTCTACAGCTGAGAAAACTGAGGCAAACAGGAGTTATGCACACAGGTAATAAATAAGGGAGCCAAGATTCAAACAGCAGTCTGACTCCGAGTGCTTGCTCTTCCAATATGGCCTTTCTACATGTTAATTAAAAAAGCATTTGTTATGTGTGATTAATATTAAAATTTAAAACCTTACTTATTTTGGGAGTGTTAGGACTGTTCTTTCTTTGAAATGGTCAATAACAGTCAGCTGTCAAGTTTTGAGAAGATACATGCAACCACAGCTACTTGGGGGCCATAAATGACTAATGGTTCAATGTGTTAGTTTCAGAGCTTCAAGTCTCCTTTCCTGACAGAGGGGAAACTATACATTAAATTTTATAACAAAGTTTCATAAGACCAAGAGTTATATTTGGTTTTAGAATGTTGAGAGCTTAACATCTTTATTTGTAAAATACTGTTAGTATCATGCTTCAATTTAAGCATCTGCTCTACTTCCCGTACCACACTATGAGAGAGAGACAGGTACTCATCTCCCCAAGAGTCCTTTTAGTTAAGTCCAGAGACCCTACCATCATCCTGACACTAGGACTTTTCAAGGGGTCACATCCAGGTCTTTGACACAAGGCCTCCTATCTCATGCTATATGCCTATTTTTTTTTTTTTAACTGTGTTATACAATACGTTCACCTTTATTCCTTTTTCTTTCTCCTACTACAAAACCCTCCAGGAAAATTAACATGCAGAAAATAAGGCCCATGGGTCAAAGAAGGCACAAGTCTTAGTACAAGAGTCTTGCCTACACAAACACACACTAGGTGAACTACTGTTGCAACGTACGAAGGTAATCTCACCAAAAACCATTTTGTGTGCTAACACAATTATATCAAATTTCTTTAAAAATGTTTTTTAATTCAAAGGGTTCTCTTGCAGTCCTTTAAGGATACTGTTGACTTTTAGTACATTCTTAAGATGTTTGTTACACTGGTAACAAGAACATTAATATAATTTACAAGTTTTTCAGGTTAAGTAGCCCTTTTTCTACTGTAATTTGTGTCTTGTATTAAAAAAAATACTTCACCTTTCATTCTGTCCTACATGCTCTACCCTATGGCCATCACTTATAGGAAAAAAAAACAGTGATCTCCTGGGTTGGGAGGGAGGTAGAGGGGCAATATAAAGAATTCTGCCGCTCATCACTATCCTCCTAAAAGCCTCAACTTACCAAAAGTAAAAGAATAAAATTCATGAAAGAAAAATTTTTCTTTTTCCCTTCTACCAAAAATTTAACACTTGTATACACACCACAAAGCCTTGAAATAAAACTGGTTTGTTCTTTAGGATCCAATTTCTTAGGTCTAATGGAAGGAGTACATAAGATTTACTGAAACTTTTATCACATACTCAGTGTTCTCTGTGGAAATAATGTATGCAAGTATAGTGAGGCTTAATCACTCTATCAGTGCTGGTAGCTAAGACTTCACCCTTCTGTTAACACACCCTGGAGATTTTAAAAACACTTTATTTAATAAAAGTTAAACATACAAAAACTGAAATTAACACACATCCTAAAAATCACCGTCTTCCATTAATAGGAAGGCCCTTTTCTATGCATATATTTGGCTTAAACTCAACTCAGGATAACTGTGACGTTCACTTATACCAAGAAATGCTGACATCTTGATCTAGTTAACAAAAATTACAAACTCAGCTACATGAACATAATATACAGGGAAATTATGGTCAGATTAATGCACAAGAAATACAGTAAATTTTTAATGATGAAACATTCAGTACTCTTGTTCATTAATTTAGCCTTGGTTTTTTACAAAAATAGTATCTACACTGTATACAGGGCTATACATCAGCTTTTTGTTTTCTCATATAAACATTACACATCCAAAAAATGGTACCACTACCATAAATGAAAAATCAACACAAGAAGAAAGCAAACGTACAAAACAAACAAAAAAAAACATTAGAAAAGGTAGCTGGTCCTAAACATTGTTTCTTATACAAAACTAAAACCCAATGAAAAGAATAAAAGAGCTGGATCAATTTTAGAGATGGTCTAACGGGCTTAGGAAACAAGGAAAAACCTCACTTTACCATTTATAAATTAACCTATTTTTAGGCTTAATTAGGCAACAGTGAGGTTTAAGCTGAAGATAAAAAAAATGAAAAGATGATCTCTTTAGCAGGTTGATATTTTGCCTTGATGTTCCAGTGAATTGTTAGAATATATGGCATGTTCAAAGCATGTGAAAATTCCAAATTAGGACTTTACAAAAAGTATCTACCATCCATTAAGTGGGGGCCTGATATTAGGAAAAATCAACATTTCATCTAAGTGCTGTGTTTATGCAGCATCTATCTAGAAAAGTTGCTTTATCCAACAAACTTTGAGGAAACACTGGTAGTAGTAATGAAAAAAGTTAAATGAATAGGTATCAAATGCAATCTCTTCAAGTTTCATTCTATTGAAGTCAAACAATGACGACAATGGTATCTTCCTTACTCATCTAACAAATAATTTACCTTTAGAAAAATATAAGGATAAAAAGGTAAATGTAAAGCCCTGCAGAGATGAAATCCAACAGTTTTTCTGATTATTGAGGCATCAAATGCCTGACATTGTATTTAGAGGTATCTTGATACTGTGTCATGGGTTTATCAGCAATTCCACAAGTTCCTACTCCAACTTTGCCAGTTACACTCTCAGGTGAAGCAAAAATACTTCTCTTTACCTAGGGAAAATGACACAAATCATTCTTGATTAGTTTTGGAAAAAATCAAAATACACTTACAAAGAAAAGTACATCAAGGGAACCTGAGTGCTCTTCTAAATAAAACAACCAGTGATGCCCAGCATAAGACATGTTAACAAAGCAGGCAGGGTTCAACACACTGACTCTAAGCAGTATGTAAGGCAGCAAATTTTTCAAATTTTAGTTTGTAGAAGGAAAAGAACCTAGATCTTTTCTAATTCTTGACATAAACTCTCATTCATAGTGTTTCTATTGCAGAGACATTGGCTAATGGAGATACTTTTCAATAAGCCAAAGTGAAGATTGAAGTAGATTCTGAATTCAAGATCTAGTTATGTATTTTTTAAAATCTGTGTACCTGCTTTTTCATTTTAATCTTATTTTAATGACAGTTGTACTTTTCAAATTTACAAAGTATGATGAAAAGATTTACAAACCTGGCCTTTTTTGTTTTTAGAATAGGCTCTGTTGTTGAACTGCTGCCATTTCACCTTCTGGTCCTCTCTTTCCTGCTCAAGTTCTTTTATTCTCTGTGCTTTTTTCAAAGCTTTCTTCTTTTTATATTCACGCTGCTGGGCAATCATTTCTTTTCTGTGTGGATATAACAGCTAAATGACTTCCTTGGAGATATTTAGCAGTGCAAAAAAACTCCAAAAAACAAAAACACTTATAAATGTATACACTCTCCTCTCCATGAATAAAAACACTAGTATCAATGCCAATCACCCAGCACTACTAAGAAATAAATGTTATTTGAAATTACATTGAAAGCTTTCAAACATAACTATCTATTACCCACGTAAATAAAATATTTCAATTATGACTCTTCATTTGACTTTTACATACTTTTGCCAGTTGCGTTTTAGGAATGAGTTTCAACATTAGTAGCTGTCTGAACCTTTATCAATTTCTAAATCAATAGTTAGCAAGTATAATATGCTGCATTTGGAAAAGGTGTATGAGAGATTCAGTACAGCTAAAACTTTATTTCATTTAGATTGGAAGAGCACAGCAGCACAAAGGCAAATCATAGCTAACAACTCTTAAAACAGAAACAACTTGGGTTTTCCAAAAACACTCTCAATAGGATCTGATTCTAAAGCTCTCTCAGTAATTTCTCCTCAGTTAACACTGACTTCTCACCATAAGAAAGATGAAGAAGTCTTTAAAAAAGAGGCAGTAAGATCTAGACTCCTCTGTATCATATAATGACCACTATGAAGCTAAGAGCCGCTTTTTACACAGATGTTAAAGACTAAAAACAGAGATGTTCTATTGTTCTTTGATCTGATTTTCTTATTGGGGTGCTTAATTCAAATGTTATTTTAATAGATGATATAATTTTCCAAAATTCAAATATATTTATGCAGCAACTTAAGTTTGAGAACTCTTGACAAATCCAAACGATAGGAAATTGTGTCAGATATGAACAAGTTAACCAAAATATTCTTAATTCTCTCTCTTAAATACCTGTCAAACTGTACACTTCTCCATCCTCACTGCTACTCCCTGGGTTCCAGCCACCATTCTCTTACACCTGGATCACAGCAGTAGCTGCCTTGTCTCTGCTGCCAGTGATCATTCAAAAGCTCAAATCTGATCACATTATATCCCCTCTACTTCAATGCATCACTGGCTTTCAAGCTCTTTCTGGTCAGGCCTCTACCTCTCTAACCTCTTCTCTTGTCAAACTACACACCCTTCAGCCCCAAGTTTTTACCACAGGAATTTCTTTCTGTTACCTCTATGTTCCCACCATGTTTTCTTTTTAAAAAGTAAACATTTACTGAGCACTTACTACATGTCAAGAACTGTGCTACATGCCTTATTAATGCTATCATTTAATACAACCCCATAATGTAGATACTACAACCCTGTTTTACAGATAAGGAAATGGAAGTTAAGCAGCCTGCCCAAGGTCATACCTTCTAGTTTCTTACCCGGCTAACTCCTCCCCCGACCCCAAATCTCAGTTAAGATGTCATTTTTTCAAAGAAATGTGAACTGATGACTAAAATGCAGCTTAGCTACCTTTTCTTTGTTCCCTTGAAGGACCCATTATGTTCCCTTCATAACTTCTACACTTAAGTCCTTCTTTTATTACGTATTTTGTTCTCTAGACTATAAACTCAGTCAGGACAAGGCCCGAGTTGATCGTCTTCACTGTGGTGGAACCCCAGCACCTGATTTAATGAGAGGTACATAGTATCCTCTTAATATTTATTGAATGCCTAAGTGGGAATCAAAATGTCATCACTTTACGTAGTTATACATATACAGACAACACTGACCCTATAATTCTAATCTTCAAGATAACGGTAAACAGTATTACAACATTCTTACCCTAATCTAGCCTGCATAAATTCGGCAGACTACCTCAAATACCCAAACGGGGAAGATTATACTTAAAATGCTAAAGTCAAAGTTACTTACTTTGACATGGGTTTGTTGCCACTGTCCTCCTTTGCCTTCCTTCCTTCTTCTACAGGCTTGAGGTTCAACAGTGGAGTCACTTCAGCATTGCCATAGCCAGCAAAGGTGATTGCAGCGGTACCGTTTTCTTCATCTATCTCCTCAATCTCCGCTTCATAACACCTGTAAAGATATCATGGCTGTAAGCAGGTGAGTAAAGGTTTAGTACTCAGCCTACAAGACTTAAACTGCAGTGATTCAAATATTACATGTGTCTAATGTATTACATATGTCCAATCAAATGGCCCTTTAACAAAGATAATATAAAGGAATAGTTGGAGTTAGCCATCTATCAAAAAAGAAGCCCTAATTAAAACATTATCAGGAAAGTCTCACATGTCTACTAAATGTGCTTTAGTCAGTCTCTTTAAGATATTTCTTACAGGAATAATTTCAATGTGCTTCACAGAAGTCTAAGATACCAACCATTCAGTCAATTTTCAATATAAGGAAAAAATAGTTTAGATTATCTTTTAAAATATCCATGCATTTTCCTTTGCTTTCATTTTTCTTTCCTCTAGGATCCAAGCCAATCTTCTGCCCCAAAACTTAACCTAAAGCTAAAACCTACTGTATTAATGGTAACCACCCCACAATCAAATTGGCTCTGTATACCATATTGGCTACATAAAAAGATTAAAATAGGGTATTTCAAAAACATCTTACCATTGTATTTTATTATTTCATGTTATAGTTAGAGTTTTTTCTACACTTACTGTCCATCTTCACTCCAGATTGCCATACACTTGTCTCCTACTTTCCATGAATGAGTGGGCTGAGTAGAAGCAAAACTGTCTGAACTTGCAAGAGTTTCAGAAGGCTGAGTTGACAGAAGGTCTTTGGTTAGTTCTATAACTTCCTAAAATGGAAAAACAAAAACAATAACGTTATTTTTATAATTCACATAGTCACCTACTTTCAACAGGCAAGTTCTTTCAGTTTTTGATGATGACAGCTCTCATACCATATAGCACTTATTAAGTACTCTACATATTTACTTGCAGTTCATAAAAATACTATGAAGTAGGTACTGTGATTATCCCCATGTAGAAAATGAGATACAGTATTTTATACAGCGGGTAGAGCTGGGATTTAAACCCAGACAGTTGCCTTTCAGCTTAATTAACCTCAAATACTAACAGAAATAGAGTAGACGAGCTTGTACCGTACATTATTTCTAAGCACCTATTTTAGCTGAACAGATCTCTAAAGATGAGAAATAGTCAATTATGAGGGACTGAACTAGGTTCAAGATCATTTTATCCCATATCATTGTCATGTATATTTCATACAACTGTGCTGTTTTACAGAGCATTACTTGGCAGTAGTATTAACTGCACAGCCAACGTGCTCCCTCTCCCCCTCAAACACTTGAAGTGGCCTTATTAGTAATAAAAATGCTCCTGCTCATAGTATTTCTACTAAAATATTGTAGGCATATATTAAGAAAACAGTAGTCTTCTTATTTATTTATTGTAAAACTTAGCCCATTCGGGTAAGCAAATTACCAGGTTAGATTTAAAATATCCCAATATCTTTCTGTTAAGCACATTAGCACAGCTCCATTTAACAGGGAAAAATAAATGTCACACACACAGACAGGCAATGCCTTTCTGTGTGGCAAATACTTTTTCTAATTCAGGCTTACACTTACTAGCTTCATTCAAAGGTGTTTACTAGGGTTGGTTAGAAAACTTAAGAAACAGTACAAGTTGAGAGATTCTGCTACCTATCTCCTATATTTTTACTCTAATGAAGATCCATATTATGCATCATCTTATCTGATTTAAGAACTTGCATACCTGTTCCCCTACTGTTGCTTAAAACATCACATTGTGTGTGTTTGGGGAGAAAAATTAGCAAGTTAAACTCTGTACTGAGTTTCTTCTGGCTCCTACTAAGGTTTCATAATAGTAGTTCTGGTTCAGTAGCCAAGAAAGTTAAATATTACCTCTTCCTAAAGATTCTAAATCTTCCTGGCTATTTCTGAAAAACTAATATTTGAGCCTAAAAAAAAAAAAAAAACATTTAGCCCGTGGAAAAAGGTCAGTTTTGTGAATAAAAATTTTGTGAACAAAAAAACTGGATGTCTCAGATTTGACTTAAAAATTCAGTCAAGTAGTAGCTTTAATGAAGTTTTATTAGGTGCCAAGTAGCCATTCAAATACTTTTTAATTAGACAATACTTGCAAATAAAGCAAAGAACTTCCAAATAAACAGATCATGTACTATACAAAGGAGAAGAGTAATTATCCAGTTTTGTTTTTAATTAACCACTTTTAAGGCCAGGAATGTAATCCAGTAAGCCTGACTCAAGAACCCATACAATCCCTATCATTAAATAATTCCATTTATCTAGGTATCATTTCACTACTAGAGTACAAACATGAATTCTGCATCTGTAGGTATCAGATTTAGAACTATACTTCTTTTACAACATCTTCCCACCACATTTTCATAAGGAAATACATTTCACCAAAGAAAAGGGTCCTGAAAAGCTGTGCATATTACAAAGAATTTTCAGAGCCCTGCACTTAAGTGACACTTTTTAAAAAAATCCAGAGCATTTATCCCTAGTTGTCCTTTCACTTTGCCATGTTTTACATACCCATCCCAACAAACTCTGGAGACCCTTCTAAATTTTTTTCTTCACATGTGCATATGTATCAAAGTATTAGAGACACTATTTTATGTATGAGGGGGTTCTTAAAGGTACATACCATTAATTACTTTTCCTCCCCCAAGTCTGAGTTCTGAAACTGCTCCTTCATCGACAGATGGGCAGCAGTTACAGTAATCGGCAATTCCAGGAAGCATCAGATGTTGTGATCTACATATCAGCAGGTCAAAGGGGGTGCACTCAAGCACTCTGCTTACTGAAGGAAGGCGTTTCGGGGATGCAGAGAGCCACTGTAATATATGAGACAAGTGACTTGACCCCTGCCTCCTTTAGAACCAGTTTATTCAGCAAAACAGCCTAATAAATTGACTATTTTTGTGATTATCATAGACTGCCTGGGGAGCTTGTCAGCTAGCTAGCCTGGATTTCACTATACCGACTTTTTTACATGAAAGAAGAAAGGCAATTAGGACTTTGGTAGATTAGTTTCCTGCCTGCTGAGTAACTTTATTTTATATGAAAGACAGTACATAAGGAGATCCTTACTGGCAAAATGGAAGTCACTGAAAAAAATGCAGAAAGAGTATTTTGTCAAATGATAGGGCAAACAAATTCATAACCAGGTTAAGGATATTCCATAAGAGGAACTCAAGAAAATAAAGGAGGCCACAAACTCAGTCATCAGTCTGAACAGACTTTTTAGGAAATACAAAAGGCAGAATTAAATCAATGGCACAAGGCATATCCCAGAAAGCAGAGAAGAAAAAAAGAGGACAATTTTTTTTAAAAAACCCATGACAAAATAGAAGCCGTAACTGTAGTCAATGCAGACAACAATTACTAGGTGGAAGCAGATATCCAAACACTTTTCAGAATTTTATCTAACCTTAAATGATGCCTTCCATCTTTGAGTAATTTGCAGTTCAAAACAAACCTATATCTAAACCAGAATGAAATTTTTTTTCATGATAGAAAGAGGAGGAAAGGAAACTGTGATCAACATTGGTCAGGAAAAGCATTCTGTATTACTACTAACTGAAGTGTTAGAACTTAAGCTTCTAAATCTGTGCCATCCAATATGGTAGTCTCATGTGGCTATTTAATAAAATTAAAAATTCTGTTCTTCAGCCACCCTAGCCATATTTCAAATATTCAGTAGCCCTATGTGGCTAGTGGCTACGGTATCACAGCAGACATAGAACATTTTCATCACCACAGAAAGTTCTGTTGGACAGTGATATTCTAAACGGTTATAGAAAAGAGGATATTTTACAGATAAATGACACTTAGGTCATCAATGAACCCTAAGTCAGTCATTTACGTGCTTACTACAATGTCTACCACAATGGTCTCTCTCCCTACAGTACTTTCCACTGTAGACCATGTCATATAAGGCAGTTCTGTCCAGACTCTGACAATTTATTCTAGAAATATTAAAAAGACCTAATAATAATGCTGTTTCAACCTTCACTCCCAACTCCTCCTCCACCAGTTCCACATATACCCTTCCTCCCACTGCCCAGGAAGCAATATACCCAAGACTGGTACAAAATGTTTTATTTTCTTCAAAGAAAAAGACCCTGCTTTTAAGTTGGTAAAAGAAGATGAGGGGATGCCAGGATCTCTCTCTGAGGCAAACAGAAAGTCGGCCTGGGAGTGGGAGAAACTGCTCCCAATATGTCTTTTTCTTATTGCCTAGCACCCTAAAATCCACTGGCCTGACTTCTACATATTGAAGAAGGGTCTTGTTTTCTGTGTTTTTAAAAATAACATACTATTGCAACTTTACAAGCTTCCGAAATCCAAAATATGAACCTGAAAATATTCAACTCATCTTTACTATGCCCAGATAAGCTCTTTTAGAATCCTGGATCTGGACCCCATTTTAAATAAGTTTCATTTATTTGCAGTTCTAATATTCCTAAAATATTAATAATTTTGATAGGCAAGAGGATGATAAAGGAAGGGAAAGGATTACTCAGGATAAGGATGATTCAAGTTTTGTGTTGAATCAGTAAAGAAAGACCACCTAATCAAAACTCCTTTCAAAACTTTCCAAAAAATCAGGTTGCGAATTTTAAGTTCTCAAATTTGTTAAGAGGCAAAGTCATATATTTACAAATATTACATAGTGTTTTTCTTAATCAACCTAGTGTTCGGAGAAACAAAGGATATTTACTATTATGGCTTTACATTTGTCTTGAAAACCCAGAGCAAGTTTTTAAGAGCAGGTTTCATACCTAGTGAACTCTCCCATAACAAACAAACAAAGTAAATTAAAATCTCCTTTTCAATTAGATCAATTTAACTTCAACAAGTGTCAACAACTACACTGTAAAACCTAGCCTTAACTTCAAATATTACGTGACATTTATGCAGAAAACAAGTATCTCTTTAGATATTTTTATGTGTTTTCAATACAAAGTGCTACGGGCTAGCTTTGAAAAAACACACTCATTTCGTTTTCAGAGAATCTTGTGACATTAAAAAGAATCTTAATCAGGTTATGTTTTTCTCCTTTAATTTTAGTTACCCTTTGAACTAAATTTCCTTTGCCAGGTCTTTAAAAATAAAAGCACTTTCCACTGTAAAGTTATACATATCTTTCCTCTAGAAAGTTTAAGAGAGACTTCTAATATCATTTTTAAAAATTACATGAGCATCCAAGATTCACGTAACAAAGAATAACGCTTCACTCAATTTGATGTATAAAAACTGAGGAAGCAATCCTACTTCTACAAGCCATATATGCCTATAAGTGGACACCCACTAAGTGGGCGGACACCCACTCCAAAGGGTGCTTTGGGTACCTATACATTCTAAGCAACAGATCATTTGAAAAACACAAGAAGACTCTTTTCAAGCAATGTAACTGTAAGTGTCCCCTCATACTTACTTGTAAATCTTTCTTTAATTTTAGCAAATCTTCATTTTCTCCATTTCCAGACAATGCAGCTTCAACTTGCTGGAGTTGAGCTTTGTAGCTTGCCAGCTGCTTTGCTAAATCCTCTGACATCTAGGGGAAATTAGGGTAAAATCATGAAAACTGAACCAAACAACACCACCACCAAAAATAATTTCCCTGTTTGCCTGAATTAACCCTTACCAATTTTGCTCTTAACTCTTTATTATAAATCACTGCAGCTTAATTTATCACCATGACCTTTCCTCTCAGTTCAGAGAAAAGCTGTGAGCCAAACCAGAGACTTCAAGGCAATGGATTCTGAAGATTATAAACATGTCAGATAAATTCCATATAGAAAGACAAACAAAAAACAACAGATAAGCGGGAAAAGGAGGATTTGTCATTTTTTTAAAAAAACTCCTGTAACAGGGAAGGCATTGTGTTCGGCTCAATTAACACGGGTGTTACATCGTCACCACAAAACACACAGCACTAATCTGCTAGAAGAATAGAGACTTCCGACAAAATTATTTTTAAGCACTCAAGAATACTTCCAAAACCAAATATAAATGGCTTTTGGATTAACTACACAAATTACTCTCTCTACGTGAGCTATTCAATTAATAAGAGTGTTTAAAAGCTCTTCTCCAGAGCAAAAATCTTTCACCCAGTCCCTTAAATGGTGCCGATGCAGTTTTGTTCAGTACAAGACAGCACAAATACTCTGCCATTTAGGTATTCTAAGGAACTTGCCCTCACCAAATCCGGCTCGTTCTTCTCCTGAAAGATCCGAGAGAATCCGCTCTCGATCTGGAAGCAAACCTACAGGGTTCCCGAGGACCCTGTCCTACGAGTCCCGTCCGACCACAGCCTGGAACCTGGAAGGGCTCCAAAGGGCCCGAGCAAGCCCGCTGCCCTCCGCCCCAGCACCCGCACCGCGAAGCCCGCCACAACTCGCTCCATTACTTCCGACCTCGAAACTCAGACGTCAGCTTCCAGGGAAACCGAACACGCGAGCTCAGCGGACGCCGGCGGGGCCGGAGCCGCCGCCCCCGGACAGGCTCCGCACGGAGCGGCCCAGGATGTCCTCAGGAGGCCTCCGCGTCCCGACCCCGCCCGACGGGCCCCCTGTTGGCCGTGTTCGCCGCTCTGGCGCGGAGCCCCAACCCGTCGGGGGCCGCTGAGGGCTCAGCTCCGAGCGGGAGAGGCACCCGGGGCCCCCACCGCTCTCGCCGGCGCCCAGGCCTCGCCGGCGAGGCCGGCTCCCCCGCCTCAGGCCTCTGCTTCAACTCGGGAGACGCCGGGGCCCGGCGAGGCCTTACTCTCTCCCTCACCGGTTTTGTTACCTTGTGTGGGGTTGGGGGCGGGGCGGCGGGAAGGGGTCGGGGCAAAAGAGCCCAGTGGTGGCGGTGGCGACAGCGACAGCAAAAATCTCCGCGGCGACAACAAGGCCACTCGTTCTGAAAAGGAAGAACTCGGTCGGCGGTGAGGGGGAGGGGAAAAAAGCCGGGCACTGGAAGAAGGAAAAGACAGAGGCGGATGAAGCATCGCGAGAGGTTAAAAACCCTCGCGAGACATGGCTCGACTCACGTGATTACTAGCACCCTCTAGGCCGCCCGCCCTTAGTGGCGTTAAGGACGCAGAGTGGGCGGAGTTTAGTAAGGAGGAAATAGCGTAGCTGGGCTGCGCCAGGAGCCGGATGTGCGTTGGTTTTATGTCAGTTCCGGCTCTGAGTGGGAGCCGTTAGAGTTTTCTTTTGGGTGTGTGAGCTGTTGGGTCCTTTCTGGGGTTTCCAGGCTGGTAATTGTGTATGTCTTCTTAGGCGAGCGGTGCTGGGAGGTGGGAGGAACGGGGTTTAATGCAGCATTCGTGGCTAGTGGTTGTTTCTCACAGTGTGGTCCTGTACCTGCAGCATCAGCATCGCCTGCTTGTTTATTGCGAAGCAAATTCTCAACGCCCAACCCAGACCTCCTGAATCAGAAACTCTGGGGATGGGCTCAGCAGTCTTTTAGCAAGCCTCCAAGTGATGCCGGTGTCCGCTCAAGTTTGAGGACCACTGCTTTATATAATAAACGCCTTAGTAGCAACAAAAAGCTAATTAAATTATGGGAGAGCTTATTGGAGAGGAGATGGATTTATTTAAAACATTTTGTTACAGCCTGTTTGTTTTTTAACTAAGTTAATTATGTAAGTTAATCTAGCCTGATAGGGAACAATCTTCAAGTTATAGTCTTGGATGATAAGCAGACTGGTGTGAATAGTTTATCTATGTGTAAAAAGAAATGCGCATTAAGTGTGTATTTTGTAATATAAACTTTCTGGATAGATACACAAACCTATCGAGATTTGGAGTGGAAGCCAAAGGTTTTCACTGATTACCGTTCTTACTGTTTACTCTTTTTTAAAATTATGTAATTTTTTTACAATTAAAAAACAAAACTAGTTTAAAAAGAGAGAAGATAAAGGCCTGAAACACAAAGAGGCTGTATGAATGCCAAGAAAGAACCTTTTCTGGGGCTTGGAGTCTGTTGTGGCACCCTTAAGAAGGCCCTCCTCTCAGATGGGCTAACTTTTAAACTCACATCTTTCTTCAGTTCCTCCTTGCTCCGCTCCCCCCTCCCCCCCCGCCCCCAAAGGGCCTTTCCTTTTTTTCTCTACGTACGCACACGTATCCCTCATAGTCAGTTAGATAACCTGTAAAGATGGAAACAAGATCAGGTTTGTGAGTATGATTGGGATGGCAGTCAATTTGAAAGAATCGAAAATCCTGCAGAGGGCAGCAGTGTGCAGCTAGAGTTAAGAGAGAAGACGAATCATAAAGGATGTACTTTTCCGTAACAGGGTAGAAATTTGTTTAAAATACAATGTAGTTTATAACTGCTTTGTTTTTTTTAAGATTGGCACCTGAGCTAACATCTGTTGCCTTTTTCTTCTTCTTCTTCTTCTGCCCAAAGGCCCACAGAACATAGCTGTGTATTGTAGTTGTAGATCCTTCTAGTTCTGCTATATGGGACACTGCCTCAGCGTCGCTTGATGAGCGGTGCTAGGTCGGTGCCCAGGATCCCAAGTCAGGGAAACCCTGGGCCGCTGAAGTGGAGCGCGGGAGTTTAACTTCTCTGCCAAGTGGCCGGCCCGGACCCGCTCTTATTCTCCTTGTGTGTTTTAACCATGCCAAGAGGATCTTCCTTGAATATAAACTATATAGTTGTATGAAAATCTCTCAAATAGGAACTCTTCATGAACCTCTTAGGTCGGAAAATAGGAAAATATTTTATTATAAGCTACTGTATAGATTTCTTTATCACCTTGATAAGCTTTTGTTTGCAAGATTGCTCTTAATTTCTCCCTCTGTGCGACATCGATTATATTTGGAAAGAAAAGCTATATTGAATTTTAGTTCTCACAAAGAGATGATAACAGTTGTAGGTACCATGCACCATTCTAAGAACTTTACATGTATTCATTTAATTTTCGTAATGATTCTAGATGCTATTAAAGACAAAACTGGAGCAAGTGTGAACTTTAACAGTGATGCTTCAAATAGGCGTTCTGACTTACCGCTTCCTTTCAAGTGTCAAAATCTACTTTCAGTGTCTAATTTTTCTTAAAACATTAATTCAAATTTAATCATGTTTATTCCTCAAAATTATTAGTATCTAAAACCTCTAGTTCTTTAAACCTGGTATTTATTTTGTTGAAACCTAGTAAGTAAACAAGATTTTAAAACCCCAAATTGTCATCAGAATATACAATTATTTCCTATCACTGCTAAAGAAAATTAAAGAAATACTAAAGAAAATTAGAGTGTAGCAGCTGCCTTTGGAAATGTGCCAACTCACTGCAGGGCACAGGAGTATGCAGTAAACGAATATATATTGGCTAAATGGCAGACTGCATTCTTTTTTTTTTTTCCCCGAAAAGAGTCGTGCTGAGCTAACACCTGTTGCCAATCTTCCTCTTTTTTAATTTTTTCCTCCCCAAAGCCCCAATGCATGGTGGTATATCCTAGTTGTAGGTCCTTCTAGTTCTATGTGAGCTGCCACCACAGCATTGCAACTGACAGACGGGTGTTGTGTTTCCATGACCAGGAAACAACCTGAGCCGCCGAAGCATTGAGTGTGCCAAACTTTAACCACTAGGCCATCAGGGCTGGCTTGGGAGATTGCATTCTTTAGCTTTGCTTTTATTGTATCCCTTCTTGACTAAACGCAGCTCCCGATTTGCCCAGATTTTTTTGCTATATCCACAAATGCCTAAGGTGATGAATTAGAGATGTGCACATAGTCATAATAACTGCTTATGCCCTTTGCCCTCTTTAATCATAATAGGTGTTTTGAGTGTTTGCATGGAGATTTGCTGCAGGGGCGTGCTCCTGGCTTTTTGTGCTTCTTGAGTGTTTTGGGGTACAGTGCATTGAAACCATGTCCTGGGATGAGTCTTAGGTGACATCATCCTTAAATGGGTGCTGTTCAATGCAGATGCTCATTAGTCACAGCAGTCCTGATTTGTTCACTTGAATTTGTATTGCCTTGTTTGTCTTTAGAATGTGCATTTTCAGCTGTCCTGTGTTTCATTTGTACCACTAAAGAACAGAAAACTGTGCCACTGTATCACTAAAGAAGAGAAAACATGCCACTAAAAACAGAAAACACTACATCAAGCTGAAAAGCTTCTATACTGCAAAGGAAATCAACAAAATGGAAAGGCAACCCACCAAGTGGGAGAAAGTATTGCAAATCATATATCTGAGAAGGGGTTAATATATAAAGAACTCATACAACTCAATAGCAAAAAAACAATTTAAAAACAGTTAAAAATGGGGCAGAGGATCTGAAAAGACATTTTTCCAAAGATGATATACAGATGGCCAACAGGTACATGAAAATATGCTCAACATCACTAATCATCAGGGAAATGCAAATCAAAACCACAATGAGATGTCACCTCACACTCATTAGAATGGCTGTTATCGAAAAGACAGCAAGTGTTGGCGAGGATGTGAAGAAAAGAGAACCCTCGTACACTGTTGGTGGGAATGTAAATTGGTGTGGCTACTATGGAAAACAGGGTAGAGGTTCCTCAAAAAATTAAAAATAGAAATACATATGATCCAGCAATTCCACTTCTAGGTATTTATCCAAAGAAAATGAAAACACTAACTTGCAAAGATATATGTGTCTCCATGTTCATTGCAGCATTGTTTATAATAGCCAAGACATGGCAGCAACTTAAGTGTGCATCACTGGATGAATAAATAAAGAAAATGTAGTGCACGCACACACACACACACACACATGAATATTACTCCGCCGTAAAGAAGAAAGAAATCTTGCCATTTGTGGCAACATGGGTGGACCTTGAGGGCATTATGCTAAATGAAATAAGTCAGACAAAGACAAATATTGTATGATCTCACTTATATGTGGAATCTAAAAAAACCCCAAATATCGAGCTCACAGATACAGAGAGCAGATTGGTGGTTGCCAGAGGCAAGGGTTGGGGGTAGTGAATGAGATGTGTGAAGCTGGTCAAAAAGTACAAACTTCTGGGGGCTGGCCCCGTGGCCGAGTGGTTAAGTTCGCGCTCTCCGCTGCAGGCGGCCCAGTGTTTCGTTAGTTCGAATCCTGGGCGCGGACATGGCACTGCTCATCAGACCACGCTGAGGCAGCGTCCCACATGCCACAACTAGAAGAACCCACAACGAAGAATACACAACTATGCACCGGGGGGCTTTGGGGAGAAAAAGGAAAAAATAAAATCTTTAAAAAAAAAAAAAATCTTAAAAAAAAAAAAAGTACAAACTTCTGTTATAAAATTAAAAAGTCATGGGGATGTAATGTACAGCATGGTGACTATAGTTAGTAATACTATATTGTGTATTTGAAAGTTGCTAGGAGAATAGATCGTAAAAGTTCTCATCACAAGAAAAAAATTTGTAAAATGACATCCCCCAAAACAGATTCCTTCAGTTTGAAAAATATGATCTAAGGCTTTACAAGGATCAGAAATGGCAGAGTCATTCAAAGTTTTTTAGACCTATTTGAAAGTGGTGTTAAATAGTAATCTTACATACATTCTTAGTAGGATATATTCTGAGGGTAAAAAGAAAAAAAATCTCAATTACAGACTTATTGCTAATAGTACTATTGGTAGTGTAATTTTGAAACTCTTTTATGTCTACTATAAATAAAGTGAATAATTAATATATTTATGTTAGTTAAAACTCTGAGAAGAAAGAAAAATATAAAATAAAAAAGTTATGGGGGGAAACTCTCTGATGTTAAAACCTGAATTAGAATTATTTATGTATATATATTTCTTAGAAGTAATGTTATCCCAGTGGAGGATGCCCATATCTAGATATCTAAATACCGTTCCCCACTAAAAGGAGATCGAATTTCTTGGAAAAATAGTTGATTTTGGATCTCAGGCCCAGAATGTAAAGAGTACAAAGGTGAGCCTGGAACATCGTGCTAGAAATCAAGGAAATGCCCGAAAACTAATAGGATCAAGTCAAAAGCTTACAGACCCAGCTTGAGGGAACTCCACTGGCCAATTGTGAGTCACTTTTGCTGCTAAAAAGAATAATGACTGATAGATTATCAAAGCATTGAGTACATTTTTAAAATCCGTAAGTCCAGAGTGATTCTCAAAATCAAGGGTGGGGGAAGGGACTTTTTTTTTAATAGAAGAATGCCGGCCAATAAATGTAGATGGAATGGTAGAATTGGAAAAATCACCATGTGCAGTCACCAATGATTCGGGCGAAGATCATCAATAGAAGCTAAAACCCATCTTATAAAAGGAGGCAGGGCAAAGGAGGATGTTTGCACAGTGTCAGAGTATCACCCCGCAGATGACTTGATTATGAACAAGAAAAATATACCTTACAATGAAGAAATCCAGCAGTCACCAACTTAACTTAGTGATCACGCTTAGCACTACTAATGGTGGAACAACCTGGCTTTATAGGCCTCTTGATTTGATGCAACATGATGTAACAGTATCACCTATGAAGGAACCTTGCCAAAAGTGCTTAACCTGAATATAATCAAGCCTTTTGACCCAACTTCCAGTTTACAGGAAATGCACGGAGAGAGGAACAACTACAATGATCCTGGGAGGAGAATCAGACAAATCCAGAATGTGGGACATTCTATAAGAAAACTGGCCTAAATTCTTCAACAGGTCAGTGTCATTAAAAAATGCAGAAGACTGTTCTAGATTAAGAAACAAAAGACATAAATGCAGTGGGTAAATCTTGATTGGGTCTTGGTTTGGAAAAATAAAGCTATAGAAGAAATTTTGAGAACACTTTGGGAAATTTGAATATGGACTGGATATTAGATGATATTGAATTATTGTTAATTTTGTTAGGTGTGAAGTTTACTTAGGTTACTTAGGAGAATGTCTATTTGGGTATTTAGGGATGAGGTGCCATAACCTCTATAACTTACCTTCGAATGGTGTGGCCAAAAAAGTTATATAAAATTTTACAAAATTCACATGTGTGTGTGCACGCACATGTATAGTTATATATGGAGAGAGAGAAAGAGAATTAAAATGTGGCAAAATGTCAACCGTCATTGTGCTGGATGTATGAGTTCATTGTACTAGTCTTTAAATTTTTCTGTTTCAAATTTTTCAAAATAAAAAGATGAAGAAAATTGTTCATAGACTAGCTAGAATAGTTTTGGTGGGTGTTGCGAGTGTGTGTTTGAGGAATGGTGGGGGAAAGCTGCAGATAGTTAAGGGGAACTCTGGGAGCAAACAATAGCTTAACAAGCACAGAAGTAATATGAGAGATTACGAAAGCATCTGTGGTTGTCAGAAACAAAAGTCTGCAGACAGCCGGATGGGTCAAGGCCCAGCAGGAAGATGTGGGCAGTGGAGGCCAAAGCAGTCACAGGAGCTCTTTGAAGGCCAGGAAGGAAAGCATGAGAAACAATTACTGTGACTTCCCCACATGCAGGAGAGAGTCCAGTGGGCCCTGCCCTCTGATGTGGTGGCAGGAGCTTTATTCATTGTTGGCCTGTTTGCCTTTCTCCTGTAACAGCCTCTGGTGCAGTCTTAAGACGGTCTTTTAAACTAGAGTTAATTGGATTCATCTGCATCACAGCCCCTGCAAGTGTCCTTATCTCGGTGTTTTCCAACCCCAAGTTCATATTGCCTATTTATTTATCTTAGAAAAAGCTTCTTTATTGCAGAAAAATCCTAGAATGTTCCACATCGCCTTTGTGGTATGGTGGATAATGGAACAATATCTATGGTAGATAATAGAACAATAGGATATTTATACCAAACAACCACAGGTGGCAGGGGATATATGTTCCCAAATGTAAAGAGGAGCAAGGAGACAGTTAACATGACTTTTTCCAGGAGTCAAAATGAGCCCCAGAGTTTTGCCCCATTAAGACTACTGGCCTATAATTTGATAGGGTCACATTTAGCCATTTTATTGATGTAGTGTCAGCAGTTGAAAAAAAGGAACTACACAATGGAGGCCTTAATAC